TCGAAAAATTTCGTCTTTGACACTCCCAGATCTTGAAAAAGTGTCGATTTTTTCCACTGGTTGGCAAAGAAAGAAGTGTAAATACAAGGTCAGCTAATTCTGGCTGCTAAATTGGTGATTCTGAGGGACCGGTTAAATGTCCACTTCTTTTTATCCTTGTCTTTCACCTTTAGTAGATAAGAATCAACATAAAAAAAAGTGTTGAACGTGGTAAGACCAGAATTACCAATCCTCATGACTTTTTTACCTTTTTGTAGGTTTTTTCAATTGTCAGCATTACGGAGAACTAATTTTCAAAGTTAATTCCAAACCTCAGAGACACAATCCACAACTGGGTCCTGAACTTTGCCACAGGGCTGTCGAATTAGCAATCATTACCAGCATTCCTGGCTTTTTCAAACTTTCTCTCTACTTTATACGATACTTGACCTCATTTCTACCATGACAGACAAAACTTTTCCATCGATAGCAAAATTAATTTAATCCTGGTTTTCATATCAACTTTCAATTATTCAATAAGAAAATTTATTCTGGAAATTATTTCTATTTAGACTCATAACAGATGCTTTAACTTGTTTAAGATAATTTCCAAAAATTATTGTTGACTCAGTCTTGATAAACATAAATATTGCATAACTATTTGAAAACTTATATTTTTATTCGTGCTGTGGCAACTATCTGTTTTTATTAAGTTGTAGAAATAATTAACAATTAAAAGTTGTATTGAATCTTCAACTTTTTCGAGTATCTTACAATCACAACATACTCCATTACTTACAAAAAATATTTACAATCATCTATATAGCAAATTGAACTTTTACAGCTACTTTACAATGAATGTATCTATTATTAACATCTATTCGTAATTTTTTAATTTTTGCAATCAATTTATGTTGATTAAATGTTAATATTGATTGCACTATTACTTAAAAGAGAATTAATGTTACAACAAAAAAAATAAACATTTAAATCCGAGGTAATAAAATAATCAATGAGCCAATTACTAAAACAAATTTATACAAAATAAATAGTGAAAAAAAATCCTCTTTTCTCCCTTTATTAAATAAAATCACCCAATACTTTTGATCGCTTTACATGCTCCCCATACTTTACATAAATCAATTGTCTGCAAAATTGAGATTCCAACAGTAACCTAACTTAAATTTCACCATCACATTATCAGAAAATAGAACGATAATTAAAAATGAATTCACTAGAGATGAAATAAATGCAACTGGGAAGCATGTAGTATTAGAATGCAGTTGGCATTAAATTGAATTGGCTGGTTGAAAAGACAAAAGATAGAAAGAAGCTGATGAATAGTAACACACTTCTCTTGGCATCACGTGGAAAATGTCAAGAACATATGTGAATATTCTGACACATATCGAGCACGTAGAATTGTAGATATATGCATCTTGCTTCCCCTTCTCGCATATCGCAGCTACAAGGGGTGAAAGGTGGACGTGAACAGTAGAAGGTGGGGAAGGTAGATGAAAAGAGGGGAGGGAAGTGCGCCGGAAATCCATGCAACAGGTGGCGTCGACAAGGTTTGGTACAGTTTGTTCTGTGGTTTCAAGGGACGAGAGAAACTGAATCGAGGAAGGTACAGGGTGTGATAAAGGTAGTCGAATCACTTTTCTTTTACTCCTTCTCGTCGTGTTCATCCCACTGCAGATAGAACAAGAATAATATGAAATGAACAATCGGAACAGATTTCACTAATTAGAAGCTCTTTCATCCAAATTAACGTGTGCTTTCTTTAATAGCAAAGTAGTCTCTACCCTCTCATTCAGAGTGAAGTTCTTATTCTTAATTAGCGATGTCTTATTATACGTTATTCTAACGTTCTTAATAGTCAGGAAATGATAAAGAAAAATTCTAAATGGATTTAATAATAGTGTTCTTAATAGAAAAATTGGATAATTCTTTTTCTTTTAAGAAGTTCTTTTCAGTTTATTACCTTCAATTATCATTTTCAATTGTTTTTTTGTTTTTTTTAAATTACCGGATATAAAAAATTATTTTTGGGTCTTATAATTTTCTCATGAGCTCATTTATAATTGATACTAGTAGTCAAATAGTTGATTTATTATTTCTGTTTAATTATTATGATTATTTCTATAAATAAAACAGGAAGTTGAAGAAATAGAAGATGTTTTTAATCTGGTTTTTGGATTAATTATAAAGTTGTGTACTTGAAATAAATTATTAAGAAGAATTTTCTGGTTTAGTAGAATCTGTTTAAATAATTTCTATGAAACAAATTTATTTCTGTATAAGATAAATATACAACTGTCTTTAAAATATTGATAATAGTTGTTGCCTACTCTTCAATCTCGAAGTTTATTTATTTAAATAGTTGATAAATTCACAAAGAAAAATGGTTGGAAAGGTGGGTGTTAGGATTATCCTAGTTGAAGTTTTAAAATTTTTCCGAGTATAAAAAAGAGAATACGAAAGAGCTTGAGCCAAAGACGACATCTTGTAAAATTATATCAACACTATAGACGCGTTTTTTCGTCTCTCGAGTCTTATATTTCATCCTCTTTCCTAAAGTTGCAAAAGGGAGATATAAAGAAAACTCTGCTCGTTTAGCATGAAGACGCTCGTTCGAATTTCAAATAATACGTTTTACGAAGACGCTTCAAGAGTTTAGAGCGTCGATCGGGAATGGAATGAGAATCATTCAAGACATTTCTCTCTTTCTCTCGCTCTCTCTTCCTTCGAGTATCACGATCGACTTCAATCGACATGTCTGAAGGGACTTAGACTTCACGATTATCTTCCCTTGAGAGTCTTCTTTTAAGAACGAGCGAGGAGCTCGGTATAATCAAAGATTGCGGCATGAAGAATTCGAACCACGAGATAAGTATCCCGAACTCTTCGTCGCGCGTAATGACCAAGAGACGGAAATGCGATCGTGCGAAGAAAGGGAAGGGGATGAGATTGCAAAACGACTGTCTGATGTCGCTCGTAAATCTCATCCAATGGGTCAACGACTGACCTTTTATCTACCTCGCATTTTTTTCTATTTCCTACAATCTACATATATTCTATCGTGATAACCAACAATTTAATGGCCTCAATAATTTAATGTTAAAAGTTGTAATTAAAATTTTACTATAGCACTCTCATGTCCCAACATAAAGGCAGTCTCATCACTTAGTTGTAGGCGTTTGAGTGAACTCAAGACTCGCTCCATAATTTCACCCAAAGACCCCGCGAGTCATTTAGGAGTCTCCGACTTTTCTTGCCGTGCGAATGCAGCGGAAATGGTACTCTTGTGGAAAAAAGAACCAGAACAATAAGGGAGAGCGTGGGACAGTCAGCCATGCGTGAGTTTCATTATGAAAACTGCTAAGGGGCACACTCAATTGTGCTTTAAACAAGTGTCAAAGATCTAGAATCACGCATGAACTCTCTAAGAAGATTAACTTTACAAAAAAAAAATTATCTCTAAATCTCACATTTTCCTGTTGAAGTTGAATTAAACAAACACAATGTACGTTTTTGTTCAACTCTATTATCAGAGTGGACTCATTTCTATGCTTTAAAAGACGTCACAGTAGTTTGAATATTTTTTTCAATGCCAAGAAAATGTTAAAATAAATTTTCAAAAATTTTAAATAAATTTATAACAAATATTTCGATATATTTAAAAATTAAAAATGTTTTTTCAGCACCGAGAGAGTGTTTTAAATAAATTATCAAAACTTAAATAATAAACGTGACTGATAAAAATAGGATAAAAAAAATATTCTCTAGTGAAAAGCTTTATCCGAGAATTTTTTTTATTCAGGTATAAAATATAAAATAAATTCCTAAATGTAAGCTCACACGACAAAGATGCGTAGATGCAACCATAAAAAACAGCAAGAAATATCATCAAATATAACACCGGTAGAGTTGCAATAACAATAAAATGATGGAATATCAGAGAATCATAAAATCGTGACTTAAAGAACGTGCGAGTGTGTAGCATAGAGGCTGATTCTTTTAGGATAAAAGTATAAAGAGCCATGAAAGTAAGATGTGCGCATAAAGAATAAAAGCGTTATCAAACTAAAGCCGGAATAGCGAACAACGCTTCATCGTTGTCTTATCGTAGAGAACCAGAAAGCTTTTGATTCTCCATCGAAGAGACACCATCAGCCTCTTATTCCTTCTCAATTACTCGGTGATTTACCAGTTTCTTTGAGTAACTTCAAACTATCTATGCTATTCTCTCTCTAGCCCAATTATTGGAAATTTTACATTGAGAGCTTTTCTTATTACAAAGGTTTACGTTTAAGTCTATTCATTGAGAAATAGAAATAATTTTTTTCTACTACGATTTTATTGTTTGAAAATAATGATCAATTAATGATAAAAGGTGATACTTTATATTGTAAATCAGCTTGAAGAGTTATTAAATTATTATGTTACTAAGTGTGAATTTATTACAAATGAATATAGTAAAAGCTAATGTAACAATCATTTTACTATTAAATGTTAAATAATTAATTTTGCATTAACTTCCATTATTCAGGATGATCCATTACTGTTATAATTTATGGTAAGAATTAATTATTAGACAAAAATAAATTGTAATCTCTAGATTGAATTTATTGATGCACAAAGTTTTTTTAAAATTTATGCCATTTAAAATGTGAGGAATTGAAATAGAATTGCAACAAGAACAAAATTTTTTGTAATGAATTAATTAATATTCATTTGCAGTAAATTTATTTCTTTTTTAATCGATTTCATGACTGTCCAAATTATTTTAATAAGTTTATAAACTCTATTCTCAATTATAGTTTCAAAATTAGTCATCTCATTCATTAATTATGAGATATCGATCCATTTAGATAAAAAATAAATCAAACTATTTTTTCACTGACGTCATAATACCTATTATTAATTAATACACGAACTGAAACTTTGTAGAACAAAACGTGCTTTTTCATTATTACGAAAAAACTTTTTTTGTCTCTTTTTTAGTAGTGAATAAAAAGAGCAGTCATGGACACTAGCATACCCAATATTAGTGGGGAAATAAATTCTGTTGATAGTAGTATTAACTCATTGATTGATTTTATTGATAATAAAGTGATAAAATATTTCGATAATTTTCTCGAAAAATTAGAAAGTGCTTACGTGTCTTATATGTCTCAGGTAGCAGATAAAAAAATTCAACCATCACCTAATGAGTTTAAGAAAGCTAAGGTGAAATATGATAAATTGAATAATTCGATACATCGTTTTTTAAGCAGTATTACTCAAGATTACATGAATTTATTACAGATAGGATATAAAATAAAATCATTTTATGAAATGTTGAATCATTATTCAGATCAAATAGCTGAACTAGAGAAAAAAAATAATGTAGATGAATTAAGAGACGTTACCCATCAAGTTTCTCAAATTAATTCTGAGTTAGAGAAACTAGTTGTCGATTATAACCAAGAAATATCAAAATTAAATTTTCTTCAGTTGAATTTTAAGAATAAAATGATCATCTATCAGTCACCTTCTGCTGGAGAAACATTTTCAATCTCACTTAAAGTATTCAACCAGCAGCTTGATAATTTAATTGAATCCAACAAGTCGACAAATAAAGAACAAATATTTGGTAAACTTCTCCAACAATTTCCTGAACAATTACAATCAATATCTAAAGAACCTCCTCTAGAATTGTTAGCTGTTCGACCAGTGAAACCACAAATATTAAAACAACCTCAGGTTTCGGGTTCTAATGAAATCATTGATATAACATATTCTCTGCTTGAACCGTACACTAGAAAAGTGATTGATCCAGCTTACAGAGAACATCGATTTGTTGGATCTGATGACAGTGATTCAACGGAAACTGAAGAAAGTGAAGATGATAAGGAAGAGTATATATCAGACGAAGAGGAAGAAGAAATGAGAATGAAGGCAGAAGAAACAACACCAGAAGAAGAAAAAGAGGAGGCAAGAGTAGAGAAAATAAGTGAAGAAAGCCTAACAACCCCTAGCAGCGTAACGACACAACGTTTAGAAGAACCAATGGCTACTGAAAGACCAAGTACCTCTAGAGATTATGAAGAGCAAGCTGAACCTCTTATCAAAATTGACATACCAGAAATTTCAGTTCGAGAAGAATATCAAAAGCAGCTTGGTGATTTGCTAGAGAGTGTTAATATTGATGAACGAACAGCTGAAGAGATTGCAATCGATAATTATGAGCAAATCACTTATCAATTTTTCCTTGATACATTGGAAAGGTTAGACCGACAAATTGATCAACTGAATGATCGTGAGTATGAATTAATTCCAAGAAGTAGAGATTTACGTAAAAGGATCAAAGGTTTGAAAGAATTTCTTGAAACTGCTCAAAGTCAGATAGAAATTGATCGTTATCAAAATGAACTTCAGATGGTTCTGAAAAGCTTTATCCAGTTAAAAGAAGATGATGAAGCAATTCAACAAACCAAATATAAGTTATTTGAAGTAAAAGAAAAATTATTTAAGAAATGGCAGAATGAACTGGAGAGGAATGCTCAGATGCTAGCAACTGAATCTGATCGTGTAATGGAGTATGAAGGACAAAGTGGTTCACCGCTTGAAAAATTAGAACAAGATAGAGACCAATTGATTAGAATGGTAGATTCTCTAAAAGATGAAGTGGATTATTCTATTGATTCTTATACAGAAAGGAAAAAAGAAAGAGATATGTATTTAAAGAAAGAAGCTTCATTATTTGGAGAAGTTTAGTGTTCACAAGAGAGAAAAGTATTCAAATTGATACTATTTTATTCTATTGATTACTATCATAAGCTGTGCGGTCAAAATAACTATTGAATCATGACATTTAATCAAAATCATTTTATTGTAATTGAGTCGATTGGAAAGAAAAATTTTTTTCTTTATTTTAGTAGGATATAAAATGGGTATAAGTAGCTATGTTGAGCAAGGTGATAAAAGCAAGCTTAATGGAAATGGAGTTGTCGCTATTGATAACAGTATTAATTCACTGGTCAATTTTCTAGATAAACTATTAAAATGTATTCATGATACTCTGGATCAACTAGAAAACTACTATCAAACATACATGTCAGCAGTACAAACGACAACAGAGTGGAATATTAGTGGAAAAACATCCAAGGAACAAAAGAGAATTGATTCCAAGTATAATTATATAAAAAATCAATTGGAGGAATTTTTGATTTGCATTGTTAAAGATTATGCAGAATTTATACAAGATGCTTATGAAATTAGAACATTGCATGAACAATATAACTTTCATATTAATTATTTACAAAAATTATCACTCGAAAATAAGAAAATGGATGAATTAGATTCTCTAATACCTAAAGTGGAAAAAATGAAAAAGCAAATAGATAAAGTAGTTTTGCAATACAATGGAGAAGTTACAAAACTTAGTTATCTGAAATTGAATTTACGATATCGAGTCATAGTTTATCGATCATCTTTCACTGGACAATCATTTTCAATTCCGATTAATGTACTTATACGAAACTTCAAAAATCTTATTCAATCCAACAAGTTGGTAGTTATAGCTGAGCAAATACATGCTTCACTTCTAGAGCAACCTCTTTCTAATATACAAATTTTGTCTGATGAACCTGAATTAATTTATGCACGAACAGTCAATGTGGATCCATTGTTGGTTGATATAACTGAAAGAGAAAGCAAACGATCTTCCAGTACTAAGCCTCCAGAACCAGAATCTCCACATCCAAACCTCTATAGAGAAAAATATGTCAAAATTGGTCAACCAAGTAAGGTAAGCACCATTTTGACACAATTGAAAAAACGAAAACAAGATTCATCTTTAAAAGATGTAGAACTTGCAAAGCAAGAGCAGCCACCAGTAAAAGTAAATATAAAATCAGTTGCTGAACCTTTATCTGTTCAAATTGCTAAACCAGAATCTTCAAAAATCAGTGGACCAAATGATAAAGAATCAATGTCTATAGATTTACCTTTAACAGCAGTTAGGAAACGACAAAGAGATCTAAGTACACCAGAAGGTGCAGAACCTCAAAGTTTAGGAGTAGAAAAATCAGATGAAAGTGAAATAAAACAAAAACGCAGAGGTTTAAATGATGAAACTAAATCTACTGTAGAAAGTGAGATAGATGTAACCAACACTGAAGATATACCAGAAGACACCTCATCAATGCCAAGTTTAAGGGATGAACTGCTAGAAGCTAAAAAACCAAGCACATCTAGTACCTCTGGTAGTCCAATTCAACCTCAGTCAAGGAAAAGTATACTGAAGCAGAAATTCAAACAAAGACTTGAACAGAAACGGAAACAATCTCGAAAAATTCGAATGAAAGTCAAAAAATCTAAACCAAAAAAGTATGTCGCTACAAAATCTGTACCAGAATTGAGTGCGATTAGAGAACAAAAAAGCATTACTAAAGAATTTTATGAAAAAACATACAAACAATTGGAAAGCAAGATTAGTAATATTGAGATGTATGAAAACGAAGCAATTGTCGATAAAAATAATGAATTATGCAAAAAATATCATGAAATGCAAAGAGTACTTAATAATCGTCAGAAAGACTTGGACGAAACTAAACGTGAAATAGAGGAAATTCTTCAATCTGAAATTAAGACAGCGGAAGAACAAAGAAATTTAAAAGAGAAAGAAAAAATGATCGAAAAATTCACAACAATAATAGTTAATACTGAATTAGAAATTCGAAGAATACAATATCAAGTACGAAAACTAGATAAGCAAGATTATGATGTACAAATCTATAAAAATATCTTATACGATGCACAAAAACATTTATGTCAACGATTGTTGGGGCAACTGAACAAAAAGTTAGCACTGGAGACTGATGATGAAGAAAAGCAAAAACTTCGAGTAGAGATACAAAGATTGAAAAAAAGAATAGAAAAGATCTCTTTTGAAATAGAAGATCTGCATTCAAGCTACATGCTAAGGAAACAAAGGAGAATGATATCAGGTCCTTACAAGACTAATTTCTGTATCAAAAATACTCTAGATGCAGAAATATGGGGAAGGAAATATGGTGGAGCAGAGTACCAACCAGGTTTAGTGAATGATCCTCTTGCAGTGCGAGAAAAGGAACTGGTGCAAAAAACTATTCCTTCTTCTGCTCCTATAAATATATTAATTCCTAAAAGGAAACCTTAATAAATAAAAATTGAAAAATTGAGCAAATATTTACAAACACTAAAATAATTAGTTTGAAAAATTACAACTATTTTTTAAAGATTAATTTTTAAAGTCCAAGTGAAAGAACAAATATTTAGAATGTTTAAATAAATAAATAGGTGTGAGAATTATTAAACTTAGATAAAGCTTTGAGATAAGTAAAATACTTAGTTGAGATAAAAACAAGTAGCTTGGAGTTTGAAATTTTAATCAAGAAAATTTAACTATCAAATAATTTCGTATATTAAACAGAGTGAATAAAGTCCGGAGGAATTTTTGGCTCAGACTTGACTGTTATACGACTGGTTGTGCTAAGTTTAGCTTACTTCTCCGTTCCCCTCTGGCATTTAAGCGAGGAGAGATACTACGCACAGGAAACATTGAACCCGCGAGAAGAGCATACACCTTTTGGCCGTATCCAAGTGAGTCTGGCAGAAGCCTGATGCTACATATATGGATTCTATGATAATCTCTGTTGACGTATCTCTTCTGAAGCTAAAGCTAGAGGATATATACATCTCTTCTGTTTTCTCGTTCTCTATACAGCCATCATCTATCGCTTCCGATTCAACTCTGAAAACCAGAGCACCGTTATCAACCGCGTGATATTAAAGTTTTATAGTTTCAAAGTGTTTGCGAGATATACTTCCACTTTTGTTTATTTTTTTCACTTATTCTTTTTTTTTATTTTATATTTTTTACTTTGTTTTGAACGGGAGAATCTTTATGGTCGTCAAGAGACTACGTACCGGAATGAAAGAACTTCTTGTTAGTTTCCCTTTATATTTTTTTTTCTCTCTCCTCTTTCTCTTTTTATGCTATTTATAAAGTTTCTTCATATGGATACACTGGTCGTTCATATTATATTTTCGCGAATTTTCGTCATTAATTTTTTAGTTGAGCATTACATGCTTTGTCCAACAACATTTTTCCCCTAGTAAATTTAAAGATAGGTCTTGAATTTATTTTTAGTTATATAACGTGTGCAGAATATTTATAAATATTTAAAAATTTTATGATTTGTTTGGATAATAAATATGTTCTATGGTGGGAATAAAATAAAAAACATTGAATTATTTTCTGTTATTGTGAATTATTTATTATTTTAATCAATGGAAAGGGATTAAAAAAGTGATAAAAATATTATATTTCCAATAACTCATATTCAAAAAAATTCCAACTGAATATAATTTAATCTGTAAATATTCCAGATTTAAAATAATCTATCGTGAAAATTTATTTTAAAAATTATCTGGTCTGAAACGAGTTGATAAGTTTTTTGTCATTAATTTGAATTTATCCACCTTTACTAACACCTGATCAAAGAAATATCAATTTATAAATAACATTTTTATTACACCATTTATCAACTTCTAGTTTATTTATAAATCCATCCAATAAACTTTTCACTTGAAAAATTAATATTACTACCTATTAAAAAATCAAATGAAACATTTTCATCACCAGTAATCTATAAAATAAAAAATATTGCAATTTACTTGCGTAGCAAATCCACATTTTCCACTCAAAACCATAAGTATCCAAGCGTAACTCATTTATTTATAAGTTGCAATCATAAACCACTTTACTTCATCAAAAAAAAAAATGTAAAAAATATCTGGTCATGTTTTTCAGCATGTCAGCAATTTGAATTGAACAAAACCAATTTTACCAATTATTGCAAGCATAAATTTTGGTACTAAGATGAAGTTTAACATGAGAAAAGCACTTTTATCTATTTGTTTATTAAAATTAAAAATGTTTCAAGCAGTAAATTCGGGTATTGTTGATCAGCAGCATCCATTCATATGACTTCATTGATGCATGTTGAAGTTAAGATACGATAAACTTCCTGGCTCCTAATAGTCAACAGAATTTATGCACAAAAGTACATATGCATCTACTGACAATAGTTATGTCAGCATTGTTATGAACATAAACGAATGCTACATATATGCAAGTGACGCAGCAGTTACTCCGGGAAATTATTGCGGTGCAATTAGCACGAATAATCCAACATCGTTAACGTCCACGAACTTTCCTTGAATATCTGCATGGCATTCCGTGCAATTTCCCAGCGGAACGAAGGTCTAATCTACTCCGAGAAAAGTTTATTTATGTCGACAAAATGAAAATAGCACAATACTATGTAATATAAGAAAGACAAAATAATGTCACTGACACAAATAGTTGATTCTCCTGGTGGTCCTGGTGTTATTGTTACCAGGTTAAAGATCGTTTCCAATTAGCTGGGCGCCACGTCTCTAGTGCAGCGTTAGAGGTACACAAACCTACTCGTTAACCTTATCTTAGCGTCACATTCTACCGGATTGTCGAGGCAACTTTTACTTGAGATAAGCGTAAAAGAGAACTACTGCGAGACAAACAATCCTTTGCCAATCTTTTTCTTTTTCTAGTTCACTTCATTGTCCAAACGATTTACTTCGCTTCCTTCGTCCGATGGGAGATCGCAAAAAGTATAATGCTTACTTCTGCGACAAATTATTCCCATGTGGCATTGTAAATGCGCACTAGATGGAATTTATTTTTCTCTCTCACAATCTGTGCTGGACCTCAATGTAGCATTTCTTTCGTTGCACTTAGAATGATAGTAATAATATTTCTTTTAGAATAAATGTTGGAGAAAAGCTTTGGAGATGCTACTGGGTTATATAGTGTAGAAAATGTTGAGTAATTTTATTGAGTACTATTTAAATGAGCTACAAGGAAGAATTATTCTTCTAGTAAATACATGTGTGCTCCATTTATTTATTACTATCCAGAAATAATTTTATTTCATTTTTATATGATAAAAATTCAATTGATCATTTCATTTATTGAGCCACGAAAATTCTGATTTTATTCTAAACTAATATTTATATCAATTTAAACAATAATATCATTTTTTAATTTATTTTTCCATTAAAAGTGGCATTTAAAAACGTGTTTTTAAGACTATACTTCTATGTAAAAAAGATGATTACTTTTTATTATAATTAAAAATATTATTGCCAATGTTTTTTCCACTATTTTGTATTTTAGTCTCGTCACATTCTATTATACTTTGAATAAAAACCATGTTTTAAAAACTGGAGCATATAAAAAAAATAATATTATAATCGTGCTTCACAATTTAAAATAAACAAAAGCATGAAACATCATTTTATCAAAAAAAAAATCACATTTAGCTCCCAAGTGTTATGTGTCTGTAGCTTCATCAAAAATGAAAATGTCTCGTTTTTATTTCATTGAAAGTAGACATTATTTATTTATTAATCAAATAATGAAATTCACGTATAAGGCATAAAGTGACAGGAATGAAAAATGAAGAAGAAAAGGTGGAACAGTGTGAAGGATAAGAAGTAAAGGCAAATTTCAATACAATTGTCATGCGAGAGATCGCGTTTCCTGTCTCAAGATTTTGGGATTTGATTTATAGCAGAGGATTAAAGAGAATACAGAAACTTATTCTACTTCTATGACTTTTCTTCTTACTCTCTGACAAGTTGTAACTTTGTTTTAATGAAGATGTATGATAAATGAAACATCTAGGATATTATCATGATTATCATCATTTGCCAAATTAGTTGTATTTTTATATTTGCTCTTCATAATTTAATTTACATACAAAAACTTATCGAATCATAAAAATCCTCAAAGAATCGAATCAATACATCTTACAAATTATAGAAGCAATTTAAAATACAATATAGATTTAATTTTTAGATCTTCATAGGCAATCAGCTGAAAAAAAAATCCTAAGATGCTATCACAGTAAATATAACCGACTACTTCTTTCAAAATGGTTGTATTCTAACTAAACTTGATTTTCTTATTTCTTTAGTCTTTATTTTTTTCATTTCTCGCCTCTAAGGGATAACATCTCTCCAGCACAAAAGATAAAGAAGTCTAATCAAGCGAAAACTCGGGGAGAATAAAAATGTACTTTTACAAAACATGGTATTTTTTATTCACATTTAAATTAACACAGAAAATAGAATAGCTAAATATAGCAAACAAAATGAAGAACGAATCAATACTCTGCCTTGCCCTGACCTTGGCAAAGAATCCAATTTAAATCACAAGACAAAAATTGGTCACGACATGAATTCAGTCGTGACCTGAAGTAAAGGAAGAACTCAATAATCATTTTCGCCTCCCCCTCCATTTTATTTCAACGTAGTAGTTGTTAGTAGTAAAAAAACAAAAGAGGTCACGAACCGGCATCGCGGTAAACACGGCTTTGTAAGGCTTCAAGTGGGGGTCTTGTACTCGCTCGACGGGCCAGACAATGGCGTCAGGGGCCAGCCGGTTCTTGACACGCAGCAGCGAGGCTGCCAAGCCAGCGCGATTAAACCGGACCCCGTATACTCTGAGGTCCATGCAGTGTTGCCAGATATTGTTGTTCTGGCTGATACTCTCTCTCAATCCTCTCCAGTTCTTTCCAGGTAGCTCAAAGTCCTCAGGTATTCTCGGCCACAGCGTTAGGGACCAACGTTGCCACTCATCTTGCTTGCCTTGTTGAGATGAGACCATCTGCCAGCCCTCAGGGTTTTGAATCTTTGATAGCTCGCGTGACTCGGCAGCAATGCGTTTTCCTCATCTCTCACCACAAGTCAGAAAAGTAGAGGATCAACAACAGCAACAGTTCTGCAGCCATGAGATGAAATTGAAGTCTTTCGTGTTGGAGAGAAGAAACTAAGGGACATAGTCTCCATGGGACGCAAAGAAAATTGCCACAAACTTGCCGTCATGTGAAATCACCACTAAGAGAAATGCGAAAAAACCAGATGGACGATAGGAAGAAAGAATGGAAAATTTAATAATGCTCATAAAAGGCTGAAGGATCTTATTGTGTTGAAAGAATACTTCAAAAAAGAAACTAGTGAGGAAGTATTTTGTGCAAAATGCATAGAACAACTCTACCATTGTGTAATAGTTTTACATCAGAGAACGAAAATATTATTATACTTTACTGAGTGGAATTCAATTTCACATTTTGCTTCTTATT